ATAATCTGGAACAAAACCCCCTTTCCTCAGCAACACTACTTTCCATGCAGCACGACAAATTTAGGATATTTTGCCCACTATCCGTCTTTCGAAGCATTTGCTACTGTAATGGTCTTCAAAATTTGCATTTGTGCTCAAGTGAAAAAAAGATTAAACGGAAGTCGGAACACATGTGTGAACAGATACCGATGAGCCACTGATAAAAGTTTTAGCACGATGATCTTAAAAATGGCAAAGTTTTTTTTGCAAAGAAAATTGCAAAGTTAGCTGGCTTTATTTTTGCGGTAGTCCATTCACAGTTGCGTGAATTATTGGCATAATCAATGCTTCAAAATGCACTTTTCGGTACCTTTTCGACATGGTGCACCCTCAAAGCTCTCAATGAGCCTCCGCTCGGGTGCCGCTGCGCTGCCTACCCCCCCCCCCCCCCCCCCGCTTCACCGGCCATGGCCTAGGTTTCTGCACCCGTGCACTACGCCCGTGGGCCCCTTTAAGCTAGCACCGGGCCCCCGGGTCAGCGCAGGGGCCCCTTTGCCAAGTTGGCCCCCCCCCAAACTCCAAGTCTGCGACCGCCCCTGTATAGTTATAGTTACCTATATAATTACTATATAGTTAACTATATAGGTACCTAACTATTAGGGGAGAGTGGTGCAGGAGGCCCCCCCTTAAGCTCAGTTACTATTTTTAGACAACTGATAATATTTAAGCGCTAACGTGTGCATGCGCTGTGAGCATGCATCATTTTCCCATACATATTTGCATTCAAAATGAATCTAGGGGGTACACAAACCGTAAACTTTAACATTTTGGAAAAAGTTGCAAAAGGGCCTCTTACACTATGGGTATGGTAAGACCCCCTCGGGCGTTTTTAAAGTCAAGTCGACTTGTAAAGGACGCTTTGCGAACACAGCTGCAAGGCCTTTTATTTCGAAAAGCTAAGCAAATACGGTGTTATCGAAACCAATAACACTTCCAAAGCGCTCGAACAATGCGAAAACTAGCACAACCAAACGCTGATGACCAACGAAAATTGTACCTATAACCTCTAAGAAAAGAAACAGAAAAAAGAAACAAAAACAAACTCCTTGAAAAAAGAATGCCACGCCTGCCGCAGGTGCAGGCGTTTTAGCATCGGGGGCGTTTTTTTATCGGGGGGCGTTTTATCATCCTCGAAGGGAGGGCCTCTTAAAAAAATACAGTGTTTTAACGTCCACAATATTTATGGTTTATGAGACATTTGCAGCGCACCAGAACATGGTCTATTCTGAAGCTAACATGTGACAATTTCGATGAGAAAAGATTGCATTTGATAGCCATTGTTTTTTTCAGATATATAAGGGTGATAAAGATGCATATATCTAGCAAGTAAAGGGGCAAAAACAGAAACAGGCTTACCAAAAGTCGCTGCGACGCACCTGATACCTCAGGTTTCGTGAGTTGTTGTTTCAAGAGGGCTTCTGCTTTACAAGAACATTAAAAAATAAATAACATTATTGGTTTGGTAAAAAAAGCGATGGGGCCTCTTACCGACCCTGGGCGTCTTACACGGATCTCCCCTATAGTCAGCAAAATGACATGGTAACAAAGTCTGCGGCTCGCAGTTTCCTTCCAAACTAGCAAAACATGAATGTGTACGTAAAATGGTAACGTTTGCTTCAGTTTTAAAAGCTGTAGTTACATTACAATTTTGATTGATATAGTTTTAAATAAAATCCGACATCGTGGCTCTATTTGTTGGTGAGTCGGGCATTCACAAGACAAAATCTTGTTTCAATACTCGTGACGATTTCTTACACAGAATTATCCAGAATGTCAATTTGTCAGAATTATTTTGCTGGGATCAGCAGGTGAACTTGGTTGGTCCCTTCAGCAGGGCTGCCTTACTAAACCTTTTTACGCCCAATTTAGGCGGCAGCGCACACATTTCAGTGCAGGCGATTTCGACAGTACGGCATAGTCTGTCTATGGCAAACTGTCGAAATCGGTTGCACTTTCACTGAACTGGGTGCACTTTGTCTATACTTGGCCGTAAAAAGGTGTAGAAATGTCGAATTACTAAGCGCGTGGTGCCGATCTGCTGGCTTCATAGCCTCCAGAGGTGACATTGCGGCACAGTCTACACTCAGGGAATGGCTTACGACTCTTGAATCACTACAGACTGCATGCCTTTTTCTGGTCACGCTGCCTAATGTCGAGGTCAACAGCTTTGGAAATAAGAAGACGATGTGACGTGAGATGTGAGAAAGGCTGAAATTTATTTGAATCACATGTATTGTGGAAGAAATAAGTGGTCCATCACATTCGCAACAATGTAAGAAAGCAGAAACTTTGATCGGCTTAACTCTTCACTTAAATGAAATGTTAAATGTTTGTTGTTTATGTTAATGTTTAATATAATGTTTAAGATTTTGTTTAACAAGGCCACCTTCTCCATTCTAATCGGAGTGTATAGTTACCTTTTGCTAAGCGAAAAACCTTTAAATGCACAGTCGAACAGATAGACTTAGAAAAAAGACCGAACAAGTTGCATATGCTGCTGACAGAGTGTACAAACTTGCTCGGGATAAACTTCAATCAAGGTAGTTCGGCTCACCGAGTTAACCTGTGAAATACGCACAGAATGCTCGTCATTGATAATGCCTGAAGTTTGGTCGCCTGTTGTCCAACTTTTTTATTAACATCGGCCAAATAGCCCCATCCCACCGGCCGAGTGCTTCGCTAGCGGGGCTATTCGGCCGCCTGGCAGACCTTTTTAAAATGCTTCTATTTTCACATTTATTGTTTTTATCAATTTTAGCTTGCTGCCCCCAGAAGGCAAAATGAATGCAGTGCCTGCTACCGTTGAATAGCGCAAAAATATGCGGTCAGTATTGAGGTATATCGTTCCCTAAAAGTCGCCGATATGCCCCACTCTTTCCTGTTACACAGGCTCTATAGAGTGCCACTCGGATGAAGGTAAGCTCTACCTCTTTAAAAAGAAAAGTGAGCTCTACCTGAGCTGGATTGGGTCGGCAGTGAGTCGGCCATGACTCGGCAGCCGGCCCGAGCCGGGTGCTGGTGATGCCTCCCTCCGCTCTGACTTTACGGCTCGGAAGGTGACTGATGAGCCGACGAGGCAATCACCGCGACGCCCTCTGAACAGGCTGCCACGGCGCCCTCTGCTCGTGTGAGGTGCGTGTGCATTGCCTCGTGGCGGCGCTGGCGGCGCCCGGCCGTCGGGGCGCGGCGCCCCTCGGACCGTCCCCGGGGCGATTTCCCCAGGCGGTGTCCTCCGCTGGTCTGCCGGTGAGCCGGACCTGCCGCCGTGAGTCAGCCGCTGCCGTGCCGCGGGTGGTGGCGCCCCTGCGCGGCCCACCTATCTCGCCGCTCCTGCACTGCAGCGGTCCGGCCGCCGTTAGCGGAATGTGGCCCGGCATGTCCGGCGCGGCGGCCCCAGGAAGTGTGTCAGCCCCCCGCGCGCCTTCCCAGAACCGCCTGACCGGTTATGACGAAACGCCGCCGGCGGCGGCGGGCGGGGGCCGGCCGCCCGGCGCGGAGGCCCGCCGCCCGCGCCGCGTCATTTCGTGACCGTGCGCGCGGCCGACCACTGCTGCTCCGTGACGCTGGAGCGAGCCGACCGTGAGAGAGTGCGCGCGTGGATGTGTCCCGAGCCGAGCGGTAGCGCCGTCGATCTGCGCGTGCTCCGCGATATGGCGGCCGTTGGCTGGCTCCGAGAGGTGAGTCCGGTGAGTTGTGCGTGCGTCAAACGGCGGCGCGGGCCACTGCCGACACACAACGGCGATATATTTGGACGGGCGATGGTACGAGAGGCTACTGCGGTAGACAGCAGCTGCACTCTTCACGGCGTGTGCTGAGTGCTCTCCGGTCGATACACATCCTGTGACACAAGACCTGCTTCGGAATTGTCATTTTGGGTGCATTTGCTCCTTATCTCATTCTTTGGTATTTGTTTGTCCTTTAATCGAATTAAACTTCGGTAGATATTTGGGCTTACTGATACAGTTTAGGTGTCAACAATTAAACTTGTTGAGGCTTACGTTATTGAGAGTTGTCACTTCTCATATACATCGTTTCCACGTCGTTTGCGTATTAGAAATTAGCTCTGTGAAATGATGTTAGTTGAGACGGGGGCTTTGAAGATGGGGTCAGCTACCTTTTAAAATAGTTGTGCACGGTGCAGATTTGCGGCCAGCCATACCTCATTATACTTCTCCGGCGACTGAATTCAACTAAACGATTTGAATTTTGAATACGATTGCCCTACCAATGGTAATAAGTGATTATAATTAATTTAGCATTTACCAATGCGACCATGTGGCCGAAATGTTTTGATTGGCCAGTCTCATGTCTTTTGAAATGTAATGATATCCGGGAATAAGGAAGGTGTAAAGTGTTGGAATTTTTTTCAGTTCCGCATGCGATGTGAAACAGCATGGTCGAAGTTTTCGTATCCGAGTCAGCATTGCGTGCGCTTTAAACTCCCGAAACGGTTGATACCTAGGGTCTGTTCCAGTCGCACTTCCTAACACCTCTAAACTCCTCCAAGAGCAAGATAGAGGATCGGAGCAGGGCCCTCCTCGGCTTTGTAGGGGCTAGAGCTGCCACTGGAACAGGGAAGCAATCTTGGAGGAGTTTAGAGGTGTTAGGAAGTGCGACTGGAACAGACCCCAAGTGAACGGAACAAGTGGCCTTTCCGTCTCTGCTGCTCTCTGTGTCTGCCAATGACCACCATCTGTTCTCAGTGTCCGCCGTCTGTGTCTACATAGTGTGTTCTGTCCGCTGTCGATGTTTCCTGTCCCCTGGGCCGTCCGGTTGTCCCCTGGGCCGTCCGGCTGACTGGCCTCTGTGTCCTTCCGCTGACCGTTCTGTGTGTCCTCCGGCTGATGTTGCAGAGTTGCAGGGTTCCCTGTCCTCTCTCTCTCGTGTCCGCTGTCCTCTGACTGTGTCCGCTGTTCTCGGGAGCCGCCTATCTGACTGTCCTCTGTCCCCCTGTGTTGCAGAGCTGGCCGATGTCGATGGGCGGCCGGTGCGCGGTGCCGCCGGCGCTCGAGCCGATCCCGTCGCGGCCCGCCGGACCGCTGGTGTCCCCTGCCACAGCGCTCGGCCTGCAGCAGCTGGCGGCCGCTCGCCGCTCGTCCCCGGAGCCGCAGACGTCCGCGCTGCCCGATGCGTTCTGGTCGGAGACGCTCTCCTATTACCAGACCCTGCTGGCCAGCCGGGTAGGTAACACGTCGCGCTGCGAAACAGGCACGGCCGGCCGCCGGGATGGTGGCTATACAGGATTACTGATGCATCGAACGGTACACACTAATCGAATCAGATTCTATAGGTGATATCAAAACACTTGCCTTGAAGCGGTCGACATTCGTGGAATTCGTTTGTTTCAAATGTTACGTAAACCTGTTTTTTTTTAATAGAACTGATATTTAAATAGAACACCCGTCCAAAACAGATGGCCAATTTTCCACGTAGCTGGCGTTTTTGTTTGGCGTAACCTGGGGGCGTCACTGGATCCGCCGTCTGTGCCGTGACGTCACGATGACGCTGGTGGGTGGTGATGGACATGGTCCGGGCGGGTTGCGCAACGGGACCTGCCGGAACGCCCGCCGCACGCCACCGGTGCGTCATCGTCACCCACCCAGCGCCGGGCGTCCGAGGGTCCCGCGACACGCGAGGGTCAGCCGATCGGGCCGGGATAGCCGTCACGCCTCTCGGTGTGCTTGTGCCCGGCCTGTTCTGTTTGTGATTGCACTCGGCCCGTTCTGTCTATTTGTGCACGGGCCGGACGGTGACGGTGCGGTGCTCTCTGTCGGCAGGTGGCGGCCGGCACCGACCAGGAGAGGGCCGAAACTCCGCCGGACGACGAGCCGCTCGATCTCAGCTGCTCGCGAGCGTCGCCGACGCCGACAGTCAGGTCAGTAGCCCTGCCTCAGCTCGGTCGGAGCCGGGTGAAATCATAGCCGTCTCCCCGACGTGATTGATGAGTCGGTTACGGAATGATAGTGGAAACTAATGGTGCTTGGTGAATGGCGGCACGGAATGAATCGCACACACGGCTGAGCGAATCAGAAGGTTTGGTTTCGGCAATTGCTGTCATTGGCTTGGGGCATGTCAAATGAACGATGAGCTATGAGCGATGGGCGTCAAGGTTTGGGTTGATTTGCTCTTTTAGTGTTGATATGCCATTGCTCACGGTTTACGGCGTATTAGAAAATCAGACAGGTGAGTGTATTTCTGTGCCGGTGGCCAGCCGCGTCCCGTCCTGACCGACCGTCTGCGTTTGCCCACAGCCGTCCAGCGCGTCGCGCCGAACCGCCGCCGCCCACCAAGAAGCCCTACACGGAGGAGGAGCTGCAGGCGGCTCTCCGCGACATCCAGTCGGGCCGACTGGGAACGCGGCGCGCCGCCGTCATCTACGGCATCCCGCGCTCCACACTGCGCAACAAGGTGTACCGACTCAACGCGCAGGAGAAGCGCGCCGAACAGCTGGCCGAGGCGAAACGCACACCGCCGCCGCCGCCGCCGCCCCCGCCCGCGGCTGCTGCCGCCGAGCCGGCGGTGAATGCAGATATCGAGATAGAGGAGGTGGAGGCCCCGAAGGTCTCGGAGCCGGCGGTCAGCGTCTGCTCCGAGATGCCGCCGTCGCAGCTGCTGCAGGCGCGCCTGACGCGGCCCGCCGAGCCCCTGGAGCCCGTCCGCGCCGCCGTCATGGGGTGGATGTACTCGGGCGTGCTGCAGCGCGCGCTGCAGGCCCGCGAGCCGGCCGCCACGCGCGCCGATCAGCCGCCCGTGCTCGACGACTTTGTGCGCCGCATGTCGCACGAGCGGTTCCACGAGGTGCTGGCGCAGCTGCGCGCGGCCGGCGCTGTCTCTGCCGCGGCGGAGGAGGCCGCGCAGCCGCCGCCGCCTCTGCTGCCCGTCACCGTGGCCGCCGCCGCCGAGCAGTCCGACAGCCGCGGCAGCGACGACACCGACATGACCTCCACCGCGGGCAGCCGGAAGCGCAAGCTGGACGAGGACAACAACAACATGGTGTCGTCGCCAGCACCTCCGGCCAAGGGCAGCAAGGCGGCCAAAGCGGCGGCCAAGGGCTCGCGTCCGAAGCGCGGCAAGTACCGCAACTACAACCGCAGTCATCTGGCTGACGCGGTGCGCGCCGTGCAGTCCGGCGAGATGAGCGTGCACCGCGCCGGCAACTTTTACGGCGTGCCGCACTCGACGCTCGAGTACAAGGTGAAGCAGCGTCACCTGGACCGGGCCGGCCGGCGGGAGCGCGCGGCCGAGCGGCCGCCGTCGGCCTCGTCGCCGGTACCGGCCGACCGAGTGGCCACCTCTGGCGGCGTGATGACGTACCGCTCGGGCTCGCCGCCGACGGCCGGCGGGCCGCTGCTGTCCTCGGACGTGTTGCGTCAGCTGCAGGAGGGCCAGCGCCGGCCGGGCTCCGACGGAGACGCCGACTCGCCCGGCCTGCTGGACAAAGGCACGTTCGCGCGCCTGCTCGGCGGCGGTCTCTCCATCTCGGGCATTACCAACCGGACGCACACGGCCGGCGGCCAGGTGCTGCAGACCACGGAGAGCTCCTGAATCGGCGACCGGACGACCGACCGGTCTCCGCTGTACCGCAGCAGAGGCGCCGGCGCGCCGGGCCGCGCTCCGCCCGACGATCTCGCTGTTTGTGAGGGCCCCGCGCCCAGGTCTCTGTGATTTTTGCTCACGTGAGGCTCGATCTCAATGTTAGAAAGATCAGGCGCCAGTGGAGGGCCGCTACATGTTTTCGTGGCATATCGTTGTAGTGTGATGTTTGATGAAAGTCGCGTGCTATTTTTCCACAGTCATCTCGGCCGTCGCGGTCATGAACGTGGACTAGAGGCGAGTCCAGCATTCCCCCAGAGCTGATGCCATCCCAAAGACATTCCTGTGTGCAATTCATCCTAGGATAGATTGCCTAGTCACGATTTGTGATCGCGAATCAACTCATCACAGTAGGAGGAGCTACATACGTATGGTGTACGTAGTGTTATTTATATTAGCCCAGGAGTATCAGAAGTGTACCGTAGCGCATATCATTCAGACTTATCACGAATCCAGTGAGGCCACCGAGAGAATACAGCGTATCATTTCCGAACAGTTGCACGTGCCTTCGACCGCGTTCGTATATAAATTTTCTGGCTGGTGTGTCCGTGTGTGCGTGTCGTGTCCCGCGAGTGTTGTGTGCGTGTGCGGGCGCCAGGCGCGGCGGCGGCGGCCGGCCGGCTATGTTCTCTGTGCCGTGTGCTCCCTGTGCCAAGTGCGCCGTCTGGTGCCCACCGCTCCGTGTCTGTGTCGCTCTGTGCGTGCTGGCGGCCGCCGCGCCGCGCCCGACTTTTATACGTGTATTTACAGCGGGGTGGTCGGTTCGCCGGCCGCCCCTGACCAGGTCTACACCGCGTCTTCCTGCCACGTTGTGAGCCGCCGGCGCCGCGCCGCGCCGGCCGGCCGGCACCCAGCGCCAGCCACAATCACCCGAGGGCCGCCTCCAGCCGCCCACGGTCGGCCGGTAGTCTCCCGAGTAGAAGCACATTTGGCATCGTTATTGTATACCGTAACGGGGAACATATCATCCTGGCCGACAGGCGGGCGCCCGGCCGCTGGTCTCAGAAGCGCGCCGGTCCCTGCCGGGACCACTTCATGGCGCCGCATTCGCTTTATTTCGTACGTTCTCCTTTCAATACTAGTCATTGGTATGTTTTCTACCCTTCTACCTATGTGAACGAACTGTTTGTGTGCTCTGTCGCAATGTGTTCGGAGGCGATATTACGTGGCATATTATTGTTTGTAATCTTAATAGACTGTAACAAATACTGCTTTGTTTTTCACTTCATCAGTTTTAATACGGGATCAGCCGAGTCATATGAATGTTAAAGATTCAGCATTAAATTTTTACTATTCTGAATTGAGCTCAGAGCTCCAAGGATATATCGCGAGAAAATGCTACAGCATGGAGGTCAACATGGCCAACATATCGAGCATCCTTCTGATGTGACGCATTTATATCGCAAGCCTTGTTCGTAGCGTGTGGATGACGCAAAACGCTTGACCCTCTGCGGCCCAAATGGCCGGGCTGGAGAGGATAATGGTATTCGTGTAATCGGCTGGCTGCAAGTCGTTCTAGTTAACAGAAACGTATGAGGAAACTGGCTGAGTCAGAAAGGGCCTCGGCTCTGATGTTGCGCACTTTGTCTGCGCAGTTGAATGGAACGAGGACACTGCAAGACGCGCAGCCATGCCGCCCTTAAGGCGACTGGGTCTAGAGCGTGAGCTCGCGCAGAAATGCATACGTAGGTACACGAGTTAGATCTAACATGGTCAATTTTAGATTTATCGGCATACTTTGAAATGTGCCCACTTTCCAAGCCGTTTAACTTTCAAACGGCTTGATAAGCGTATGATGTTAAAGGTATGTGCATGCCGAACACCTTGGGCGCGGTTAGACTGTTTGATGACATAGGTAGGTGACGATTTTTGTCTAATTAACGTTTGCGAAGTAAATGCAGTGGTGGCCCCTGCCAACCCACGTTGCTACAATGTGGGTTGTATAATAATAGGTAGCTACTGTCTTGCGAAGAACCAGGACAGACTTTAACCATACCATCTAGACACATGTAGGTAAACGGGCACTTTGGGCGGAACCATGAAATCGAGTGATGGCACTGAATCGGTATCCTGTTCAGCGCTCACATTCAGCCTTTTCTCGTCTATAGTGAAAGTCGGCGCGGTTCGCTGAGAACGCCTACCGAGGCCGCCGCCCGCCACTGCGCTGGTGTATCAAGGATCAGACAATCGGATCGCGGCCGGTCCGCCTTTCATTTTCAGGGCGGCGCCGCTCACGCCATTTCTGGGAATCTGACGCGGTATTCTGGGGCGCCGTTCGCCGAATCAAGGGCACCGGATGACGTTAATCGGCCGTGTATTTTACGCTGCACATACAGGCCGTTTCGCGGAACGCTGCAATGGATCAGTACCACGCTACTGTTGATCAGTACTATCAGCATGCATATCGATGCTGCGGACTGTTTAGTTTAGGGCGTGGCAGCTACGATAGGCTGTTTGGATAAGCTTTTGCCTAATAGACGTAAGCAGTATACAATTAAATGTGTGCCGTTACCTGCGCTATTTGGCTGTTCTTCGAAAAAGACGTTAATAAGCAAAGTCCCAATTCCCAAAAGAGCTCTGCGGGCCTGCGTCGGCAAAAACAAAATAAAGATATGCTTAAGCACTTTAGGGATTGTCCATAGCGGACTAATATATGTACCTAACTTATATAATATCGAGAAAAGTGAATGCTTGAAATGACCGTAGGACAGTGAGGGAAGGCCCAGAGACCCAAGCCTCATTATCGGGCATGAGTCGTATCTCTTTTAGGTATGTTTTGGGACTCGTGAACGTTCCTGAGAGTGAAGTTAGTTGAACCGGCGACCGATCGCGATGAGACTGCATGGTTAGCCCAAAGCTCATCAACTTTGCACCATGCCCTGAATTTTTCATGACCCCGACCCAGATAACCTTTGACCTGCGACCTGTTTCTCGAGGCCATGTCAGACCTGATTTGCAATTGCATGTCAACGCACATTGAACGTGCGTTTCCAGCCTTAACCCATTTACGCCCTTCGTTGCGTTTTCGCAACGCAAGCAAGCGTCGACGTGATCGAAGCTTGAGAAGTGTGTAAAGCAGACTAACCGATGAGACAAATTTCAGCGTGCGTAGCATGGTTGTGCGCATGATGCTACGCAGTAACAAGTCTGTGCGGCCGGTAAGTTACTGCCTAGAGCTCCCAGAGGGAAGTCGAAGGTTTTGTGAGTGATGACGTCACGAAAACCAAGATAAGTAGGCTAAGTGCTTAATAATATCGTAATGCAAATTGTGTAAACATATTCTGCAGAGTCCCTACAATAGCGTAGATATGCATTTTGTTAAGAAATAATGCTACAAAAAGGGTTTGTGACTATTTTCAAATATGACTTCGGTCGCGTTGCGGGAACGCAACGAAGGGCACATCGGAAAGACAGCGGTGTTGCGAAAACGCAACGATGGGCACATTGGCAGGGTAGCGGTAGTATGAATATCAACAATAGACTTCACTCGTGATACGCTGTGGGTTCTCTCTTTCTCTCCCCCATCTTCCTCCCTCTCCTCCTCGTTCCCCAACTCTCTCTCCCTCTCTCTCTCTCTCTCTCTCTCTCTCTCTCTCTCTCTCTCTCTCTCTCTCTCTCTCTCTCTCTCTCTCTCTCTCTCTCTCTCTCTGTGTGTCTCTCTCTCTATCTCTCTCTCTCTCTTTCTTTCTCTATCTCATTTTGTAGCCATGAGGCTGTAGCGGCGGATCATCTTCAATTAAGGGGGGGGGGGGCACTGCCGACTTTTGGTCCCATTCTTTCCATTTCCATTTCCATGCAACGCCTATAGGGATAATGTTAAAATGGCAAAATCAAGGGGTCACGGTGCCCCGGTGCCTCCTCCCCCCCCCCCGCTCCGCCGCCTATGCCATGAGGGACGTGTATAGGTATGTTTAGTGCAAGGTGCGTTCGCAAGTAAAATGTTGCGACACATTTCATATTTGCTTGCTCAAACAGCCACAAACACTCCTTTCTTTTTCTCTCGCAGATTATCGGCCTCGGGCTATTCGTTCACTAAGCAATGTGTTCCCATGCATCTGAAAATCGCATGGTAGGACAAGGACCCAGGCATCAAACGGTCGGCGATGCTAACGGAGCTGAGAGATAATTAGGTCCTTTGGAAATTGGATCTACTATGTACATTGTGCATAAATAATGAATAACGGGGATGTATTCTGGTATCAGGCGACAGATAGGCATTGCCATTCTCTGGATAGAATCTGCTGACTACCAACATTTACGTTAGAAAAGATAACTGAGGGTCGGCAAATAGTGGGATAGGCCCCCTCTGGGGGTAGCTGAGCCCTTTGGCAGGGGTAATGAGGGCGGACCTGGGAAAATAATAATTTTTAGGATTCATAACTCGCATAGATTCATAAGCTGCTTGATGTGGTGTATACACTTGTTCTCTTACTTTGATAGGCTTTTTATCTAATCAGACCATTTTTAGAGCTAGCAGGATTATTGGAATTAGGGGAGACATTTGTCTGACCGGACACGGTTAATCGTAGACTGGAGACTGAGCCCAGCCAATGGGCAGGCCACCCATGACCCACCCCCTTCCCCCCTCCCAAGCACTCACTGCACCCGGCTACAGACGCGCTCCTATGTGAGCTGCCCAATTGCGATATACGTTACCGGTCCAGCCCGGAACAGGGGGTTGAGGCGTGGAGGAGGATTCAACTATCCTGAAGATGGAAAGGACGGATTGACGTCCAATCACTATTCTGTCCTGGCATTGTCTCGAGAAAGAGGTTACACGTGAAGGTCGCTGAGAGCGGGGCCATGGAAATTTTGGATTAGGTGTAAACATGATAAACTGGGAGGCGATTTGTTATGATGCGCTACGCCTTGCACGGGTAACCTGTGAAAGCCGGATCGATTCATTTTTTTTCTCGTTTTTGCTGAGAGTGGGTACGACTAACCTGCAATGGAATTTAACTTTACTCCTAGGAGGGTGGTTAACGATCATTGCGGATACGTGTATACGTGAGGCACTGGCTTACTCCCAACCTCCGTTTAATTGTTTTCAGTGTGGGGTCTGATAGGTGGGGATAATTGCTCTGTCTGGCATCCAAAAAGAAAGCGTCACCCTGGGTACGTGTCGACCACAACTTTAAATGGACAACTGTTGTTGATAATAACCGTTTGTTGTCACCTCCCCGTTCGCGAATCCTGAAGATATCCTCCCTCACTGAGGCACTTAGGCGGGTTATAAAGCATGAGGGATGTGGGATTCGCATTTTCAAGCAATAGTTGTCAACAGTTGATTGATGTTTTGTGAAAACAAATTAGCATATACGGCAGTTCAGTGTACTTTATGGCCGCCTGATGTGCCCGTCGTTGCGTTTTCGCAACGCTGATGGCGCCCGGTGTGCCCTTCGTTGCGATTTCGCAACACACGTTTTTTACGTTTTTCTCGAAAAACTTTTGCTGCAGGCAAAAATTATTTTCGATTCCATGCAAGGCCCTGGTGGGAGCATAACATATTTTGATTTCATCGATTTTCATGATGGTCAATATTCCTGGGCATAAATGGGTTAATGTGAATAAAAACGTCAAAATTTAAAATGATGCTTGCCCCGTGCCTCGTGGTGGGTGTCAAGGTCACGTGAAGGAGAGGTCAAGGTCATTGACTTTTGGTGACATAGGGTAAATTTTCGAGCTCTAGGACTTTAAAGTAGTGTTTGGAGCTGATTTCACATTTGGCAGCCACTTGAACATTTGAGAATTAGTTTTGGTACCTACATGCAGCAAGTTAAGAATAATTGTTAGACGACACCCTAATACCCACTCTCGATTGCCGGTGAGACGCCTACTGGTTGACCTGACCTGACCCGACCTACCTCAAATGCATTAATACATCATCTGAAAACTCATGTGAATGTCGAAATCAGGACCCCGAAAAACCTTTAAAAAAAAATACCCGAAAAAAACGAAAAACCCCGTTTTAAAAAGTTCTAGACGGTCCAGATTTTGGTCATTGACCTGACCTGGAAAGCATAGGCGGCGGAACGGGGGGGGGGGGGGCACCGGGGCACCGTGCCACTGCAAGGGGGTGGCACCAATAGCAAGGTGCCCCCCTTAAATTTGATGTATTAGTACCAGGGGCGGATTCGGGAAAACTCTAAGGGGAGGGTCATGAATCGAAGTGGTGCCCCTACCTATACCCAAAATTAAAACCTCAACG